AGTTCATACCCAACAACGCCAAACACAATCTATAAACAACAAAAACTCAGCAAAAAAGCAACATTAGAGAACAAAAAGAGACACTGTTATCAAACTAACACCATACAACCTCCAAGTTTCACTATGTTAATTGTAAGATATAGGAGGTTTTGTGTATCATCTCCACAAGGATTGTTCTGATATGGGATGCTTGTTGTTCAATAGTTTGCCGTTTCAAAAAAAGGATTTTTAAAGTTTGTTTCATAAATTCTCACTATTTAGTAGCAAAGAATAAATTTTAAGATGTTTGTTTTAACAAAGTATATCAAAAGTAGTTTTTATCAACCTTAACTTCTATATATTCTCTTAATCTTGCATGTGAAGTTGGATCTGATTAATATCATCACATATTCTCTCAATGTCGTCTATGTCTAGAGCAGTTTCGTGAATATTACTGTATTCATCGCTAGACGATGTCTCAATCTAACAACCAATACAATAAGCTTTAAGATCAATACAAAGCAAATATCAATCACAAATCGATCTCTCAAACTTGTGTATTGATAGATGAATATTTTAGATCAAATTTTATAAAATCTATGTCTAGAGTTTTACAAATCAAGAATGTATTTTTAAGAACAAAAACATTCATCATATATTAATCATCACTTGTTCACATACAAGGTCAATCAAAAGAAGTACATAAAAGCTAAGGTAGACTACCTCTACCTTTGATACAAAGGAAATTAACTACCCATTATGGTAGACTATGGTAGACTTTGAATTACAAGGTCAATCAAAAGAAGTACATAAAAGTTAAGGTAGACTACCTCTACCTTTGAATCTCCCTGAATCAAAAGACCTTTTCAACAAACACGGAACACTATGGTAGACTTTGAATTACACCAATCCAAATAACCTTTTACAACAAACAACTTATCACCACAAACACTTTAAATGATCTTGAATAAAATTGATTTTGACTTGATTCCAAATATAAGAATTTATTCTTCTCTTTCTCAAAATTACAATCCAAAATAATGTACATTAAGTACTCAGAATATGGTATGAAATTTTTGAATGATTTAAAAGTTATGCACAAATTTTCATGATTTAAAGATTTTTGAAAATATATAAAAATATATTTGAATGTATGAAAAGATTTATGAAAGAGGTAAATCTGAATTTTTGAAATATACATCATGTACCATTGTTATGAAAGGATGCACAAGTTTGAAAAATATTTTATGGAGCATTGCAATGAGTTAGAAACATTTTTAAAATGAAAAAATGCGTTGCTTCAGGTTGAATACCAAAATGTGGTAATAAAAAACCACTTAAAAACGTTTAAAAATTCAAATTTAACTGGTATTCAGATACCATATATGGTATTCGAGTACCAATCTTTTAAAAGTGAAAAATCTATATTTTTTCAATAGCTATTCACATACCTTATATGGTATTCGAATACCATTAATATTGATATTCAGATGCCATATATGGTATTCATATACCATTAAGCCAAATTTTATTCTATTTGAGCAATAATTGAATACCATTTGATGGTATTTGAATACCGTCAACAATTTAGCTAAAAATTTACTTTGTAATGAATCACTTTATGCATTTGAATGCAATATATTTATGAAGATTATAGATGAAGTTTGATACATATTCATGATAATTTAATATGATTTAATGTGAATTGTAATGTACCTTAATTCATGATTATTTACTCGTTCTTCATTTGATTATCTTCATCATTGATAACTCTTTGACATCTCACTTTTATTCTTTATCTTCTTTGATAGTCTTTTATCATCATCAAAATCAAACTAAGATATATGATGAACATCTTATTCATAACTCTTATAACATCCCATCTGCTTATTCTGTTGATGATCCTGAACCTTTCCGTGATGGATGACCTTTAGATGATGTGTCATCGCCTCCACCTCGTATAATTGACCAGCAACAACTATAAAGGATAACATTTTTTTTAGATAATTTCATGGGTTTGGTAAACCCATATGGTGAAATGTATATCGGGTTGTCTCAAATAGCACACAATGCTCGTGATGGACCTGCGTATATCTTATTAGTTTGCTTATTTTTTGATGTTGTTGGCATTATTTGTATATTATTGACATTTTATCTTAACATTTCATTAGATAAAAATTAGCATTACATTACTTAACACTAACATTGCTTAACATAACTTAACAAGAAAAAAATGAACGAAATTAAACAATACTAGTTGATTTAGGATGTTTCAACATTTTGATAATATCGTTGATAGATTCCACAATTGTCGCGTCCACCTCGATCAAATCCTTTGTTTCGTATTGGTGATATGTGTTCCACATGACTTTTTAATCATCATCCATCTTCAACTCAAACTTACTGAACCTAATCTTACATTCATTATCGATTGATGGTGAACGATACTCAATCTTAACCACCTTAATGTTGTTCATATGGTGCACAAGATTATCCAATTTGTATTTTAGAGTATCAAGATGAGTGTCCTCTTTAAGCCTAAAATCAACCACAGGTTTCACATGGTTGAAATACACAAACGGGAGATACCAATATTGAGAAATTTTAAAATATTTTTTTAACAACATACGATGCATATTTCTACAAGTTTGCAATCATTATAGACCACACAAAATTGTCGGTGCAATTTCATCCTTACAAAAGTGTCAGCAAAAATCTCAACTGTTAAACATTAACACTATCAAAATTTTTAAAAATATGTGAAAAATCCAATAATCATTGGCATTTGAAAAGAAAAAGGGCATATTCTAGAGATTTGTAAAAATCTGGTAAATTAACTTTACCTAATTTTTCATAGTTATGAGAAAAACTCGATAATCTCTAATATTTTTGGAAAAAATCAGTACATTTTGACACACATCAATTTATAAAAAATGAATGCCATATTTTTTTATTGGTTTACTAAATTTTTTAATTGTATATCGCATGTTTTTTGACCTACTAGATTTTTTTTTATGTCATTTTTTAAAAGACGTATTTTTTATATTAGAAAATTTTGAAAGGGTGTCATGTTAAATTTTAATGGTATATGCACAAATTCTCAGGAGTAGCGAAGAGAAAGACCCAAATAAATAGTAAAAGCCCAATGTGTTTTCAGTGATTTGTGAGTCACACCTCACACTATCACTAAATAACTTTCTTTTTGTTTGAATATGTATATGTTTCATTTTAATAGTATAAATTACTTTTGATTATAAATAGTCTAATTTAATTTTATGCCACATCACTTATTTATTTTAAAATAAATAAAAATTTTATAACACTTTACATCAAAAGTATCGGTATTCAATTTAATATTTGCCATTTTATTATTAGGGAGAGGGTATACATCTATTGGTGCCCATTAATATTGATTACGATTATACCATTTTTTAACTACTTTAAAAATATAAAAGTAAGAGAATTGATATTTTTACACACAAAATTAATGGACAAGATAATTCAAATATCTGACCAATCATGTTCATGATAATTAATTAATAAAATAAAGTGACACAACTTATTAATTATCAATTGAATATAATTTTCTATAATTTAAAATACCATTCAATTATTTTAAGTGTTTAAATATACCTAAAAAAATGTGAATTACGAAATTAATATTGTTTTTTATGAAATTAAAATTTTAACACTCAATTATATATTTAAATCGTGTTTAATTAGATTTCGTTTCTGAAATAACATAATTGCCTTTTGAAATTAAAATGTGACATCATAATTGTTTGTCAAAATAACATAATTTTTGAAATAATTGTATTATTAAATTATTAAATAGTGGCTAAAAGTGAGTACACTAGAAAGTTTTTATTAGCATTTTATAATTTAATTTCTTATAATAATATTTCTTTGTATTTTTTATAATGTATTTATATAAATAAATTGTAAATATTTATAAATTAATAATTATAATTTTTTAAATAAATATTAATAATAAAAATTATGAATAATTGATATATAATTGTGGTGCACATTTAGGCACCAAATGGAAAAAGAAAAAAAAAACACAACATGTTTTAAAGTATACTTTATGTGGATTGGATTCAAAGAAATCAAATATTTTTTAAGGATAACCTTATCTCCAATCACAAGTAGAATATCTTCCACATCATCAAAAAAATCTCCATTTTCCACCTCACATCCAATTTCTTCCACCACTAATATCCCACCTTTCCTCACAAACACTTTTCAAACAAAACCAAATCCTAAACCAAACCAAACCAAATAATTAACAATGTCTTCAGCTTCTGTTTCTATGTCCTTACCACTAACCCAAGCCACACACAAAAGCCTCACCACACCCTTCTTGAAACCCTTACCCTTACCCTTTCCACAAGCAAAGAAGACACTAGTCAACAATTCAACTTCAAGATCCAATCTTGTTGGAGTTCAAGCGTCGTTGAAAGACCAAACAGTGAAGGGTCTAACAGCTTTTGCATTGACAGCTTCTATGGTCCTTCCAGATGTTGCTCATGCTGCTGGAAATGACTTTTCACCTTCTCTTAAAAACTTTTTACTTAGTATCGCTGCTGGTTTTGTTGTTCTTACAGCTATATTAGGTGCTGTTATTGGTGTTTCCAACTTTGATCCTGTTAAGAGAACTTAATTGATTCAACTGTGTTGTCTCAATCTTATAAGTTTACATTTTTATGCCACTTGTAATTTATGTAATTGCATAACCATAATTGTGTAATCGTTTCTACTAAAATTCATATTATATGTTTTAACATTTCAAATTGAAGACAAATGTGAACTATTTGATATAGCAATGTAACTATGGAGTCATGCTTTATTGAGCCTGAACTGTACAGAAAATTCATACACACACTCACACTCTAACCATATGCAAATTAAAGAAAACATGCACGTGTTACATAAATTGAATTGTCCTACAGATTAAATCTGTACTATGATGTTGTGTAACACTTTTGAGGTGAGAGCATGCAAGAGTGATTCCATTTCTTTTAGCTACGAACAGCTATGCCATGTCCAGGAATAAATCTAGCATTATCTTCAGTGTACACATGAGTCTCATTCTGCAGCCTGAAAAAAATAATAATTCTTATGTCAAATTCTTTTGTGTGCGGAGTTCAACCGACAAATACTGATATTGTTAAGTCAGATGAGATTCGAATCTGAATCTTCAAAATTATGTGTATGAGTTTATTGTGATTAATGTTGATTGTACTTACGATTTGGAGACGGTCTTATTCATGATGGTTGATGAATGGAACCAAACACCATCTAGATAGAGCAATTTTCCATTGATTCTTGTTTCAATTCTTTTGTCCATTTCCACAGCATCAATCAATATTGGTTGGTCTGAAGCCTAAACTCAAAGCATAGAGATTTATATAAAATTAAAAATCAAAAAATAAAAGTAATAAATAAAGAAAGTATATGATTTTTTGTATACCATAACCCATCCCCATGAATCAGCAAATGATGGTACATGAGTTGCATATGCCACCACATCTACACAAATTAAAGAGTATATATATCTCAAAAAATGGATATCAAAATTGATTAAAGTAAGAATCGTAGAACAAAAAATGAGTTAGTATATTCTTACATTTGAAGACCTGTTTTATGGTGTTATGAATAGAGGTGAAGACCTCTTTGTGTGAGAAGATACCTGCTGGTCCAGCCTACATCACAATATATATTTATATAAATAAATCTTCAAGATTATTTACTGACAAGTAATTAACAACGAATCATTGATCAAATTTTACTTGACTTGAATTATGATTACGCAAACGGGCATGTCCACCTTATTTAAATTTCTCTTGCAAAATTCTAAAAAACCATGAAATAGAGCGGACATAGATGAGACTGTGGCTGTATAATTTGTCATGCCTCACGAAAAAATGAGGCAGGGCAAATATGCGAGCTTTAAAATTGCAAATATTATTGTTAATGTACACAAAAGTCAAAAACCATGCGAGACTGAACGAATATATTTGAGATTGCAAATCTAAAATTTTATTAAAAATAAAATGCGTATAAAATATGTCTAACGAACAGGATCCATTACCTGAGTCACAAAAATTCCGTTTTTATTGAGTTTGGGCTTGACAACATTCTCATAAAAGTCCTTGGTATAGAGTTGATAGCAAGGCCCATCTTCAAGTGGGTCAGCCAAATCTCCAACAATTACATCATACTTCTCATTTCTCTTCTCTAACTCAGCTCTTTAACAACAACAAAAATAATGTTAACAAGAGTTTAACATATTAATTTTAAAAGATTAAAATTTAGTTTCATTTAAAATAATTTACTAAATTCATAAATAAAGAACAATAGAAGAACTAGCTTCTTACTTGGCACAGTTGATGACAAGGTCAAGCTTATTGTCAGCAAATGCCTCCCTATTTGCAACCAGGTATTTTCTACAGAAATCTACCACCTCCTGCAACAATAAAATGTTTAGTAAAACCTAATTATCTTAATTTGAGCAAGACATATTCATCAATCTACAGAAATATATATATTTGTCATTGTTTATTTTTGGAAGAAAAAAAGTAACATTGTTTATTTTATTAAAAAAATGACACTGCCATTAATATAAATATGAAAATTATTAATTTTTCAATTTGAGGGACGGCTAAAAAAACTATGAGTTATATATATTAGTAGACTAACCTTGTCAATATCACACATAACTACTTTCTCCATTGACTTGTGTTTCAGAGCTTCCCTAGCTGAAGAACCTTCACCACCTCCCATAATATACACTGTTTTGGGGCTGCCATTTTATTACCTCTTCATATTAGTTAAAGGTTTCATCAAATAAAATTCCATTCAACTCTATAAAAAAATATACTTCCTTCATTTTCACTATTTAAAAAATAAATTTTTGAGTTTCACTTTATAAAAGAGTAATATTAAAAATAAAATATTTAAGAGTTTAACAATGTAGTTTTTATACGAGTTATAAAATGATTAATTTCCTTGTAATGCTATGAAAAACAAGGAATAGAAAAAGGAAGAATATTACATCAAGGAATAAGAGAGTGCATAAAAGAAAGAAAAAGGAATTTGAATATACATATAAATTATATGGACATGCTACTTTTTTCAATTTGTTATAAAAATTATGTTGAAAACACTATCTTTTTTAAACATTTTTATATTAGATGGAATTCTTATAATTTCTACCACTTTATCTAGATCTCATTTTTAAAATGTGAGGCTCATATGGATTTTATTAAATAAAAAAGGAAATGTTGGAAAATTGTAAAAAAGGAAAAAATGGTTATAATTTTGTTCTATAAAGGACAGGGCTAAATCTAAATGCTTAAAAACAATAATAATACAAAGTTGTATTTTACCAGTTCAATAAAAAACATTATAATCATTTGACTATATTATTTACTTATAACTAAATTAAAATTTTAAAAAATTTTAAATTTTAAGAAAAGTTAAATTTGAAATTTTGAAGTTTAAAATCTTAAAAAAAATTTTAAGAATTTTTTTTTTTAATATTGAAACTTACTTGGGATGACATATAAGAGGAGGATGAATCAAACATTCATGATAAATAAATTCATCAGCTTCAGAACTCTGCATCTTCCCATCAAGCATCAAGGCCTATAAATAACAATCATATAACACAATTTCATAAATTTAATAGAAAAAAAATTCAGACCAATTTCATATTTAGTGGCCACTTTAATTTCTATTTTTTTTTTCTTCATATTTAGTGGCCACTTTAATTTTCTAATTTTCAAACCTTTCCAAAACGCTTTGTATCTAACAGAGCAATGTCCTGGTATTCACTAATAGCTTTATGTAGCACACTGTTAAAAATAAAAAAATAATTTTTTAATAAAAATAAAAATAAAAACAAATGAAAATGAAATTAGTTAATTGATATGATTAAATAAAATAAAATATAAAAACAGAGGAAATTGAAAAGAATGTAATATACCTGTTGAGTTTAAAAGACCATTTGAGATCTTCATCGATAACTTCCTCGTACCATGTGGAATCATGGTCATCATGATCAACAACGTTGTTGTTGTTGTTGTTAACATGGTTTTGTTGAGGTTCTCCCATGGTTTTTGTTTTTGAAAAAACCACTCCCATTGTTGGAAAATAAAAAAAGATGAATGAATGAAAGAAACAAATGAGAAAGTGCAATGTGGATTGTGGCAAGAGTGGGTAGCACTTGCTTTTATAGCAACAGGGAAATTCAAAAGTGGATAATATCTTTTTTATTTTTAGTATTTTTTTATGTTAATACATACTCAATAAAATTAATTATTCTTTACATATCATTTTTTTGACAATTTTTTTAATTTAATAACATTTTTAAAAATAAAAGCATACTAATAATTATTATTTTATGATTCTCTGTAAAAATAATTTTTAATTTTAAAAAAGTATTATTATTAGCTACTCTTTTCCTTTTAAAGTCTTACTCCCTCCATTTCTATTTATAAACAAATTTTAATATTTTAAGTTCATTAAGTAATTAATGCATCTAATTTATATATAGTTCAGATACATCATTTGTTGAATAAATTTAAGAAATTAAAATTTGCTTATAAAGAAAATAGAGGGAGTATATATTAATGAATTTTATTGAATTTATATAATATTTTGTTTGAAAATGCAAAAAAAAACAATTTATATTAATAAATATATTAATGAAGTTTATTGGATTTGAATAATATTTTAGTATATCCTATAAAATAATATCTGCTCATCACATCAGTCAAAAAATAAACACCCTTCCCTTCCTTCTAATTGATATTTTATAACATCTTCTTTGAAAATAAATTAATCACTTCCTATGAATTAATGAAATTTATTAGATTTGAATAATATTTTAAAATATCATAAGAAGTGATTAATTTATTTTCGAAGAAGATTAATGATTTGAAGATGAAAGATGATTTAGCGAGGAAGATTGATGATAAGTTGAAGAAGAATATCAAGTTTTTAGTTATTTTTTTATTTTGTCTTGGGTTTTGATCATGTTGTTGATCACAAAAGTCTTGCTTGGCTAATGTAATTTTATTTTCTTTCACTTAGTTAATGGACTTTTAATTTTTTTTGAATTGTTAGTTATGTTGTAATTTTGTTGTTAATGAAATGTTATAAAGTAATGTTGCTATCATTGTTAAACTCTCTTGACTAATGGTAAATGAAATTTTATTAATGATTTTTTTTAGTTATGTTCCAAGATTGTTATCATTGTAAAACTGTGTTAAGCTAATGTTTAATTTATAATGAGAATAAGTATATCGTGAAATTGTGTTTGAATTGTTATGAAGTAAATAAAATGTACTTAAATAGTGATGAAGTAAACAAAGTTAGCTCACATAAACAATTTCATTCATAATTGATTAATTACATAGTAGAAAACTTAAACAAAAAGGCATCCATTACAGCAAGTTTTGATCCATTACATAATAAAAACCTTAACTAAAAGTATTCAAAATATTACACAATAAAATTTTACTACATAAAATGGTAAATGCTTCTTAAATTGATATTCTCTTTAGCGCTTAACCTTGTTACTTTCTCGATTTGCCATTGTTATCTCTTTGCACGTTCTGAGTTGTGCCTAAAAGCCCCACAACCATAAAATTGGTTTTCCTATTCAATTTCAAATTTCAAAGCATAACTCAGTCAACACAATTGCGTACAAACTAGTGCACAATTGCATAAAAATCCAAGTTAAACATAACAATTCAACACAAATGCATACAATCAATCCATAATAATCCAAGCATTATAAGCTCCAGTTCACAATTGCTTACAATCAGTCCATAACAGTTTAGTTCATATCAAACCAATTGAAAACATATCAGGCTAATTGAAAATGTAATTTTGTGTCAAACTGTATACAGTGAATAATAGTCCCAGTATTACCATAACACACTTGCATACAATCATTGTGAAACATTTTCATTCATATCAAACAAACATATTCATAACTCATAACATATTCCAATATAGTCATAATACACTCAATCTTTGATCTCCATGGATGGTTGAACTAAGATTACAAATACAAGACAAAAATATGAAAGAAGAGATAAGAAACTAATAATGAGTTACAATATATATTACTACAAAAAACATATGTTACGTCTGACGTGAAGGAGATTTTACCTCGGTGATACAAGCAAGGTAACGAAGGGCATCATGAAAACTTGTCAATTTATCTCTCGATTACTGAATAACCGAGGGGATAGTTGAAATGATCATCAGTTTGATCCCTAACAAAAGCATTTTTTATATTTTCAAAACTAGCGCCACATACCACTTGGTTTATGACCAAAACTGAGGAGAATTTTTTTAAAAAAAATACAAATTACATTGTTTACACAAAATATCAAATTAAATTGTTTACAAATTACATTGCTTACACAAAATATTAAAGTAAAACTATATAACAAACTTTGAATCTGATTCATAATCATAATTGTATGTCAAAAATAAATGATGGATCCTCATTTCATTGAATCCGGGGGAAAATCAAATGTTGGATATTTTATGCATTTATTTATGATATAAAACAAAACTAAAAAGTTAGATAAATAAAATAAATATCGATTTATATGATTATTTAAGAACACAAATCTTAAACTCAAATATTTGATCCTTAAACCCCGAATATTTTTCTTCTCTTGCAATTCATCATAGAGAATATTGTTTCAATGTTTTTGATATAAAACAAATAAGTATTAATATTTTCATGAAAAATGCTTTCATGGTCTATTTTTGATATTCATAATGCTTTTATAATGTGCACGAGCCTTTTGAATGATTGTCTTTTAGGTTTCACGGAGATCACTAATGACATTGTCTTGAGCACTGATACTCACTAAATAAATGATAAATATTTGTTTAAGGATTGTAAATAAACTCAATAAACATGCTTATTTTTTCCTTCGGTTTTAACCCCGATTTCAAAAAAAACTGAGATAATAGATGACTTCTATTGCCAAAAAAAATGGTGAAAAAAATTGAAATAACATATATTGTTTCCTTTTTCAATTTTTTTTATCATTCACCAATTTCTTTGTGTGATGCAATATGATTAAAAATAAATTTTTCAATATTGTCAACCGAATATATATATATATATATATATATATATATATATATATATATATATATATATATATATATATATATATATATATATATATATATATATATATATATATATATATATATATATATATATATATATATATATATATATATATATATATATATATATATATATATATATATATATATAATAGAAAGTTTTTTTTTATTAATACCATTGAAAAGTTATTCCATTAAAAGTTACAGTTGTCGGGACTCGAAACATGTATCATGAATTAGTTCACCTCTTGATTTTTATAAGTCAAAGAATAAATGATAATTTCTTGAAAAAAATAACATTGTGCGTCATGGAATTTTACCTCTTTTTTTTCTGTTGAGTGGGGTAAAAATTTTATTATAAAATATAATATTTGTAGTAGTAATATAAACAACATAAAAACCATCAATACCTTGCCACACGCAAGGTCAAGTATTGCATCTCTTCGGCGTGCATAAAGTTGAATTAAGACACTCTTAATATGTTAAGTAACAAAATTTTAAAAAATGTTAATAACAAATAATCTAATACTAGGTGATGACAAATTCATATATTATAAAAGTTTCATTTGATTTCAAAAAAAATTAGAAATTTGTGGTATTATCTAAAAATGATTAAGGGTTTCGAAATCTTTTTCTTACTTCGTTTTTTACTGAGTCTTTTTCGTTATTTAATGAACCGTCTTGGATTTTGGGTGGTATGCATTTCTTCATTTATTTTCATGTTTCACTCTGTTGGTCTTCCTTTTTCATTGTTTTCGTCTCAATTTTCCTTTAATAAATTTGTTTTAATAACTATTAATCAATTTAACAAATTTATATTAATAAGTTTAAGTTTAATTAATAAATTAACGAGGTGGCAAAAATGACTTGGCTAATGAAAACTCAACATGTCATCCACATCATAAAAAAATAACACACGTTTAAAATAAAATATACTTCAGCATTTTAAAGTAAATTTAGAGATGGGAGATCAAAATTAAATAAAAAAAGTCATTTATCTAATTTTTTAATCTAAAATTGAAAAAAAAAAAAAAAAAAAAAATATATATATATATATATATATATATATATATATATATATATATATATATATATATATATATATATATATATATATATATATATATATATATATATATATATATATATATATATATAAAGCATATTAAATGAGAGTGATTTTATATATATATATATATATATATATATATATATATATAAAGCATATTAAATGAGAGTGATTTTAAATAAGAGTGATTATATATATAAAACATATCAGATGAGAGTGATTTTAAATAAGAGTGATTATATATATAAAACATATCAAATGAGAGTGATTTTAAATAAGAGTGATTTTGTTAGCAGTAGAGTATAAGATAACTTTGGTTGATAAGAATAATATGACATGTTGGTTTTATTAGGTAAATTGCCTTTTAGTGTTTAAAAAATTATATCACAGTAGTATTTTTAGTATTTTGTAAAAAGATATACAAATATATGTCCTCTTTTTTTCTTTCTAGAAGGTGTTTTTAATTAGACTTATTTACCTAATTTTGCCTTTAAACATTTTTACTTTTATCTTAAAGGTATTTTTCTTTTAAAAAAAACTATTCATGATATTGTTCTTTTCTACTCTTAAAAAAAAGTTAAAGAACATGCTTTAAATTAATTTTACTTTTAAAAAATAAATTAAAGACAAAAGGGTCTAAATTGATATAACTATGTTATTTTTTAATATATTTGTTCAAATCTAAAAAAAAAAAATTAAAGATTAGGGTAGAAAAAAATAGTTTTAGTCATCAAATAAATTTTTGGTTTGTCAATTTATTTCATAAAATTTCTTAGAAAGAAGGTATTTTTAAAAGTATATTTAAAATTTTGATATATTTTATAGTAATTACATCATTTTTAAAAGTGATAAAATAATAGGATGGCAAAACGGACATGACTGGTTGATTAACCATTTATCTCATTAT